GAGTGGGCTGTAGTTGAAACACTGCTTTTTTAGATAAGTGAAGGAAGTGACCTCTTTCAAATTTATTCTGTTGACAGTGGTTGGGGCTTTTTGTTGTTGGTTGGTTGGTTGGTTATCTTCATCAATTCCGTCTTCTCTATGCTCATTTGATGTCCTGTCTTTACTATTTCTTCCGTAAACTTGTTGGTTTCCGCCTGTAATTCTTAAAATCTGTGATACATTAAACACATAACCTCCGTGAAGTTCAGATTTTCTATAGTCTTCATATCGGTGAAACGTATTTTTCTTGCAAAACCCACCCCACCACAATCAAGAATATTATTAGTGGTAGCAGGCAGCCTTGTCTTACTCCCGTCTTCACTTCACTGGCTTCACTGGGTTTTTCGTTGTGGACCACCTGACTAATGGCACTGTCATACAAATGAGGTTGAATGAGGTTGATAAGGACTTGGGCACTGCGCGCCCTAGTTTTGAATTAGTCTCCGAATTACTTGGCAGGAATATATATATATATATACGTTTATCGGTAGTGTTTTCTTCAATTTTTTACCTAGAAAGAATCGAATCCAAGGAATCGCCTAAAAGTATCACTTTAATTAAATTTTAGATTTTCCCGTCGATTGATTGGACCGAAGTGCTCGGTCTCAGGTTGACATGTCGGCGTCTTGCTCAGATGCTTCGACGATGTCTTGGCACTGGGTTCGAGCCTCGGTGGGAACATCATCACTCACTGGGAAATGCAAGTACATCCAAAATAGGACGAAATGCGCATCCTGGATTCCACTGATAGTCACCATCCACCCATTAAATTCTGGATGTATCATTGCTGAAAAATTATATGGTTCTTTTAGTAAACAAGGTTTTAGAAAAAGGCTGATGACAGGTTTGAACACGGTATTCATCAATTATCCGTATTACCCACCTCTCTTCTCAAGTAGAGACAGCTAACATTTCTAGAGCTTAAATTTCATTTTTAACTGATATATATATATATATATATATGATAAATATTCTCAATAACCCAAAGAATATCTAACTTTTGATAATAAATGTGTCACAAGGCGATCTCGTAGACCATTGAGCCACTGGGACCCGATCCAATGGTCCTTGAATTCCAACTTCTGCCAATTCAGTTACCTGGGGTTTTGGCGACCAGCAGGGCACAGCAGGTTGAAGACGAGGCAGTAACTCATCGAAGAAGACATTGCGAAATGGTCGTGCTATGTCGTGAATTGGCAGAAGTTAGAATTCAAGGACCATTGAATCGGGTCCTAGTGGTTCAATGGTCTACGAGCTCGCCGTGTAACCAGAAGAGCCTGGGTTCGAATCCCGGTGGGTGCGTACTGATGAAGAGTCCCAAACTAGGCCGAAACAGCTGTCCAGTACTCCCAGGTTTTCCAGTGGTTCTCTAACTGATGTCAGCTCATGATGAAATCCTCCATTTAGTCAAATAAAATCTCTACAAAACCAATACTTGAGAAATAAATGTGTCAGACTGGGATATGTTTAAACTTTACTGTCTCATATAACTTCCATTGATTAACCTTACGCTTCAGTCGGCCATCAGTAGATAAACCACCTGACAAAATCTTCTAAATACCAATCATAACAAGGGTCAATAGGCTAAACGACAATGAGAAAAACAATTGTCAAATCCAGATTTTTAAAGAGAAGAGAAAAAAAGAAAAGAAACGGAATCATTTAGTGCCAAAAACGAAGTTAATTTATGATTTCACAAATTATTCACCATATTAATAATAGTGGAGTAGGTTGTTACTGGCATGCAAAAGCAGCAAAGACTGATCTTGTTCAAATTATTACTTGTTAAAAAATACGTGATATAGAGGACAACGAGGACAAAATATGATCGTCATTGATGTTATTACTAACGGCGATGTAGTTTTTCCGGTAAACTTTTTTTTGTTTTTTATTTTAATTTGACCTTAACGTGGTACAAAAAAGTTAAAAGTTTTATTGTTATTTATTGTTTCTGGTCAGATAAATCGTTTTTTTAAAAATTATAAAATCATGACAAACACGGTGTTTATTAAATATTTTGTTGTATGTGTGTGTACATGAGGTTTGTCAAGTTTAGATAATTAATCAGGTAATACAAGAATGATCTAATATAGAAACAAGGTTAATCAGGCAGAGTAAGAAGTAGTCTTCCTAAAGGTTTACGAATTAGACTTCTTCAAACTGCAGAAGCAATGGTGATTCACTTGCTAATTCCTGAACTCCTGCATACAGAAGAAGTTCATTCAATCACTACACTTGCAATCGATGTAATCTATCTTATTACCCGACAAATGAATTCTACCTAATCTTTTTTTGTCTGAGTCTTCATTAGTATTATTTTATCTTCTCAATTGTAATATTTTACATTTTCGACTTTCTTGTTCTCAACCTCACCCGATTTAATTTTTACACCTCACTACCACTGTTACTAACTTGACCAACAGTCATTTCCCAGTCATTTATGTTATGTTATCCAATTTATCTGCTCAATTTCAGTTCTAATTTAAATGGCATTATTCTCTACCCCACTTCTACTTAGTCTCTACCTGTAATTACTTCTGTTGCTACTCTGACCTAAGTTGAAACATTTTAGTCAAATATTTTGTGTTTAGGGAAGCTAGTGTTTGTTGTTTATAAGCCAGATTTGAGTTAAACTAATCAATCAATACAAAAATATGATTATTCCAATCCGATTCCCCTTTTGTTATAATCATAATTATTATTATATTCTTCCTTTACCTTCCCAGTGGAGCATACGGCTTCAAGCTACAGCTTTAAAGTTTTGGTAATGGGATGGTTTTATTTTTTTTATGAGGTTGATAGTCTCACACTCAACCTTCCGTCTTTGTTGGCCTTACTACGAGTTTAGCGAGGTTTAGGAGTGCGTCGGCTGATGATCGAACCATAGACGACTTGTGGTGGAGTTGGTGAGCGTCCTACTGCTAAACCACTGGTCCCTCTTAGTATCTGTTTATTTAGTATAGTTGTCGTCTTTATGTGGTACTGCCCACAGATGCAGTTATCTATGCTTACGATGTGTTTCGAATATTTGCTAGTACTGTGAAGTTAAATTGACTTTACAAAGTATTCTAGTTTGGAACAAATCACTGACAGATAGCGAAACATTTGAAGTTAAATGTGAAGGAACAATTAAGAGTATCACTTTAATTAATACTGTCATATAGATGTAGAACCTAATATCAAAGGCGTTATCGAAAAGTGAATTCTTTCTTCATTAATCAGCCTTGTAAATTTTTTATGGGGACGTTCAATGAGTTAAAGTATTTAACATTTGTATAAGAAAGAATACGTGGTGTAAATTAGAGATTTTTGACAGTTCAGAATAGATACTTCATGTTTATAGGCATGTGTCAACAAGACCTACATGTTACGCGGAGGAATTTCATTCTTCACAGACACTCTGGGTTATATATAGTAAGGCACTTTAGCAGTATGTTTACTGTCGAAATCCACAGATTAATAAACTCATTTATAACTTACAGTAACTTTTTTACTGGTTGCAATTAATAATCGCATTCGATCAACAATAGGGATAGGGTATTAAAAAGTTGATTCATCTTCAAGGTGCTGTTTTGTAGCAGTTTTCAATTTCGGTTATCCCACAGTCTATAAATCTAGCACATCTCTTGAACACTTACACAGTATTGTCAGTTAGCTCAACCAATATCGATAGATCTGTAGTGATCAGGTGTTTTGTACTACTGACCTCTTGAGGAATATTACTCTCTCTCTGTACATATATACATATATATATATATAATATATATATATATATATATATCGTTTCCTTTAGTTCATAGAGGAACATAGGGCCTCATCCGCACGTCGCCATTGCGCTTGGTTCTCTTCCAATGTTTTCACCTGGCTACACATCTCCCCACATGCTTTCATCTCCTCTTCACATGACCCCCTTCTCCAGGACATCCTGGCACTGACGACCAACTAACTCGCCACTTCCCATTCGGGTTCCACTCGAGCGATGGCCTGGCGTGTGATGTCACTTGGTGGTTTGTTTTCTCATAGTATGGCCAATCCACCTGCATTTACTCCTGCATATTTGTTGCGCATTCGGTTCCTACTGGATTGGCTCGCTCCCAGAGATCCCTCACTGTCGCTGATCTTTTCTGGACGGCCATTTGATCTTGAGTAGTACTGAGCGAGGACAGCTGTTGATGAAAGTCTGGAGTTTATTGGAGGGCTCTTCCTGACGCGACGTGAAGTCTCTGATCCGTACAGTAGCACTAACTTCACACTGGAGTTGAAAATCTGGATCTTATTTTTCAGTTCTGTTGATCTCCACACAGACGAGAGTAACGAAAGCTTGTCTTGCTTTCCCGAGCCTCTCTGCTTTGATACTCTCGTCAGTTCCGCTCACCTGTAGTTGAAACGATGCTTCCCAGGTCGGTCGGTTGGTGGTAAAGGAGGCCGCTTCTTTCAGGTTCCTCCCATTTATGCTGAGTGTTTTCTGTTGTTGTTGTTGCTGTTGGTGTTGACCAGGAATCTTCATCATCTCTGTCTTCTCTACGTTCACCTGAAAACCCACCTTTGATGCTTCTTCTGTCAACTAGTTGCTTTTCACTTGCATATCTTCCAGTTTTCTCTACTCTAACTCTTTGTAATTCTTTAAAAGTCTTCACTTTGGGAATTTTCATGACTTCTGCAAACGTGCCAAACGACACCATTTTAGAATTTTATTCATGGACAAAGTATCATAGTATCACAAAAGACCAAAGCCAAAATATACAGTCAGAATTCTAAAAACTGCCATCCTACAAAATGAAATGACAATTCCTATCTTGCATCTGTTTGTAGAATGACTGCAAAGCAATACTGATTACTTCATATATACAGAAGCTGACTATCTATTGCTCCAATTTTAGCTCAGCCTTTAATATTGAAAATAGACTTTCTAGTTATTTTTCTTCATTTCTCTTTCTATTTTTTTCTAATTCTTTAATCAGGCTATTGCAAACTAGTTTTATTGATATGGAAAATATGTTTGAATTATTGGAGAAAGAGTCAGAAGTTGCTGATGCACCAAATGCACCGGCTTTAATTATCAAAGAAAGTGCAGTTGAATTCAAGAATGTCTGCTTCTCGTACAATCCAGAGTAAGTTTGCCATCTGTTCATTTCTTCTTTTTCTAAATTTCACTATAGAATACATTGATCAATTGAGTGTTTTATATGATACTTATCTTCAGGAAAGATCCAGTGTATGAGTGCATACCAACTAATATTTGAGTAAAGCAGGAAAAACAGTGGTTTGTGCAGAATAACATGGTGCCATAAGTGTTTATTTAGTTGGCTTTTCATCGACTAGTTGTGTATTCAGCCTAAATAAATTATTATTAAGTTCATGTACAGACAAGTTTTAACATGCTTGCAAATTTTACATGATTTCCGTTGATAGGAGGTTCCGAACTTAGTGAACAGTGCTCAGCAAAATTACGCTTACATAGTTTTTACACAGGAAGTTCAAGTTTAAACAAAATAAATGTATGCATACAATGGTAAAGGAGTTACGTAATAAAGACGAGAAATACGTAAGATGATGAGTAACTAATAAACTGGGTGACAGTGTACTGAGTTCAACTCAAATCATAGAAACAAGAGACAAGCAAAATCACACTATATCAAGGTGGGGAGTGATGTGAAAGCCACAGATTACGTAATCAAAGGAAGGAGGGAATAAAGACATTCAGCAAGGAAAGACTGATAACTGCTTCTTTTATGAACACATAAATCGAGTTTCGAGCGCTTGATGCAGATTGCCTCGGCAAACTTGACGAGAATTCAGCTTTCCTTTTGACTATTGATAATTTTTGAAGGATTTTGCTATGTCCACCTTATGACCCGTATCAAGAAGTTGCCTGGTAATAGAACCTTTATAAGAGTTTATTCCCTTGAGATGTAGACTTTTCGGTAAATGTTCAGAAAATTGGAGGTGTGCCCTTCTTTCTATTCTTCCAATGTAATTGTTCCCGCAGACACACGTAAGTTTGTATAAGCAGTTGGAGTTAACATAAGAAGGGTATCTAACCACCTTTGACTGCACCAAACAGCATGTTATGCCATAGACAGGAACCAACTCATCCGCAGGAAACGCCCTGGCTAGTGACGTATTCAGCCTTATCCTGACTATTGCTGCAATATTATCACCTTTAAAATCGAGTTGCTTGAAGACAGGCATTTTCTTTCTACTGTGATTTGTTTGATGTTTGAGTCTTCCATATTTGTTAATGAGTATCTGAAGATAACTGTTGTTTTTCAACATCTTTTTGAGAATCATAAATTCTTCTTCTAACTTTTCTGCAGAGCATATTCTCCTAGCTTTATAGTACATAGTTTTGACTAGTTCTCGTTTAAGGCTATTTGGAGAAAAACTGATAGTTTGCTTTAGTGTAAACGGCATTCAGTAAAGAAAAGACTGAGCGGATACTTTAGTCCTAATTCATCTCTGTGTCAGTATTTTATTCAGTTGTAAGTAGTTGACCCTGGAATCTGAGATGCACGATTTGAACTATATGGGACTTGTCAGTTAGTTGATGATATCCCTACTAAGATCAAGTAAGTAGTACTATGTTAACCCTAAGGCATCATGGAAGAGTCTGTACTGCTATGTTAACAGAGACCGATCATTTCAATCCAGTAAAACCAAGCGACGAGAGATTCAAAGTGATTTCAGCAAAAATTTATGTCAGTAGATTTCCACATTATATATAAAAATTGAGTGTTCCATGAGCATCTTTTTATCAGCTGGGCAATGTATTTTTTGGGTGAATCAGCATTCAAACTATTTGAAACGGCAAATGTAGATTAAAATTACACCGCTTCTTTTAAACGAATATCAATTAACTGGAAGACACCACCTGATAAAGTCAATATACATGCCGGATAAATTTACCAACCTTACAAATATAGTGTTTTCTTCTGAAAGTCTTTCCCTATAGTCTTTTTTTAAAAGGTTTTAAAATTTCTGCTGGTTATCCTGCCACATGATGTACGATTTAGACAATATGCAGAAGTGTGCACACAGCCTACTGCACTGTTTTGCTAGTTGAATTATTTAACGATTCCTGCATATTTAGCACTACCCAGAACTAATACTTAGAACTATACAAGAACAATAAGGATTGTAATAGTAATTTTGTGTAATTATGATGACCGCCATTTAGATGTAGTTAGATAAAGTCAAAAACTCACAATATAATTAGTCCGTGTGTTCTTCAAGAGAAACTGGGTACATACACAGTATTAACAAAAATACAATTAATCATTGTTATATAGATAAGAATAATCAATGGAAATCGAATTTGAATATTGCATATGATCATCACATGTACCTGTACACTTGATTATCAGGCGATTTGACCAACACGGATAAGACTCATGTGTGACTATATGAATATTTACAAACTAGTAAAGTTATCATTCCTTATGACTTCTGGGCATATGAAAGTACTGTGCAACAATGAACCAGCTAGTTAGATTTCTTTTTAATGGATATGTCACACAGTGAATCAGTAATAGCTAGTTGATGATGTCTTAAACAAAATCTGTTGTTCGTAATCATATCAAAGTATCAAAGTCCTATATACATATATTAAATAAAACTTGATGTTAATCATCTCTGAGCTATATTCACCCCGTGGATGTTTTTAAATCACCTAAGTCTAGGTAATTACTCATTACTTTTCACATCGTGTAACTTCATAGCCTTTGTTACACAACTGAGACATTATCAAGTGACTTTTGTAGGCAGTTCCATCATCTTTAAGTATACCAAGTACCTGTATAGCTTTGGGTATTTTTCACACTTTAAGCGACATTTAATGATAATTCCTTATGAGTAGTATCCTGCTATACACTTTCAATGGGTAAAGTGCTGTTATAAAACTAAACACAATATCTGTTTAAATCTGCTGTCACAGATGACTTTTTAAAAGTAATTCAGAAGTGTAAATATCTGGAAAGTATTTCAAAATCCAGTGGTTGAGTTAATACCGAATTAATCTTTATCTTCTATATTTCATTGCTAGTATAAGGTTATTTAGCAAAGTTAAACTTTAAGCACCACTAACAACCAATCAGCGAACGACCTTCAGCGAACCAATCACGTGGAAGAGGGATTTTTGATAAAGGAAAATGCATATTTTGGGGAAAAAGCATAAAAACTGCATACAACTTTTACATAGGGTATTTTTCTATAACGTGTGACAAAAACACCTCCTAGTTTAGCATAGGAGTGTCAATAGAAAAGTCACACCACATTCATCCGAATGACTACAAATGAGATTCATTTGAGATCCATTTATAGCCCTAATCCTATTTTTCAATTTTCCGCAAAACCTTTCCATAGAATTCGTACTCGTCCCTGTAATTGGATCCACAAAATCACTAGAATGGTTCACTCTGTGGTGAATATATAGCGAAGAGATGACAGCAAGTTATAAACTTTCCATTCATCAGTATGTAATATTGATCCCTGTTTCACAAGTCGAGTGAAAATTGGTACTAAGGTAGTAAACTTTCTGTCTGGTGTTCTCTCCACGAGTCGTTTCCGTAAGGAGGTGTCATATAAACCGATCATCCAAGCATTGTTGTCTCGCTCACGGCCACGGTTCTATTTTTTCTTCAGTAGCAAAGTTTCGTCCACGTGTATGACGATACCTCATCCGCCTATCAACGAAGTAATTCTCTCCATTTTCCACGATGCGATGTCTCTGCAGTGCTGTTACCACTGAACCGTTGACACAAGACTATTTTCGGTTTCAGAAGCTGCGCCTCTCACAGGTTGTTTTAAAACCCGGTAGTTACAAATATACGAAATCTAGCTTAGAGGGAGATGCGACCTAGCCAGAAATGTTTCTACGAAATATTATAATTATCAGTTTATCTTCCCTAATACTAACTAGTCTCAAGCAGATTGCATAAGGATGTACGTATCCATCAATCGGCATGCTAAACCTTTTTAAACTCATGGCACCACCACATGGACAAATCCTCTCCTACCTAAGCAAACCCAAATCCAGGCAATACTGCAAAACCTTATCCTCCTCGAAATGCAAGCGCAACTTCGTTAGAGCATGCATTTGATACGAATCAAGCATTATACAACCTTGAACTCACGTGTATGAACCTCATTGGAGCATTCGAGGTCGTTCGCTGATTGGTAGTTAGTGGCGCTTAAAGTTTACCTTGGCCGGTCATTTTGCTTGTCAGAGGTTTTATTCTACCTCATTTGAAATAAAAGATGATTAGGGATGCTGCGTTTAGCAATTTCCAGTTTCTAACAACACATATAAGTGAACAATATTGTTTTCAATTAGATGTCATCAGACTTGGCTCTAATATACCTACATAACTTTACAAATAAAAATCCAAATATAAACCAGTCAGCGTGTAGTGCCTATAGGATGATAAGATAGTACATATGAATCATGCAATTAGTCATACTAATAGTATTGATAATAATAATGGTTCTACCAGTAATAAAGATGAAGAAACGGGGCGATCTGTAATAACAAGAATAATGAAAAACAACTTGATTAAGCAAACAAACGTTCAGATAGAAGTAGTCGATAAAGCCTAGTAAAAACAAATGAACCGATTACGTAGTGCTAGACTGTAAAGGAAGTAAGTAAGCTATGTTTTAATGAAGATGAGATTAGATTAATGGATGATAAGAGAGGGGTTGGAAATATAAGTAAGGGGTGGTGTAGAAGTCATCAGTTGGTTATGTCTTAATAGGCCAAGCAAGGGAAGGATAATGGCTGTACGAAATTCTTTTAAATGCACAGCTTAGGTTTAACGTTTCGAATTCCTACCGCTTCAGCTGTGTGCAATAGACGGATAGGAAGTCTATTGGAAAGATTCTATACGATACGATGAATTACCTTGAAAACTCTCGTTATTTGCTCCACCACATCACCACTATCAACTAAATGTGACAAAATGGAGTTACAGATTGTTTTTATCTTTCCTTTACCAAACAACGATGGGAGATGTTCAGTAACACATTGGTTGGCTAAGCTATCTATTAGCACGCCCAACATAACTTTCACCGTAGGTGTAATTGAACTGATAAATGCATATAGATATGTGTTAAA